TTTGGCTTTGATTTCCATTGATTGACGTCATATTAAAAGATAGTGTGGTTTAAGGACGGCGTGTCGGTGTGTGCAAGAGATGTACATATTCAATTCGAGTTTTTGGGAGGTTGTGAGATGTTCGTGTAAGTCTCCCTGAGATCATGCCATAAAGCTATCATAGTGAAGCATACTGCCAAAATTCCTCAGCAGGATACCCCACATGGTCACATTATACTGAAATATGTCGGTTAAACTAACTAGGAATAAATAGATTAACACAATATCCTTTAGGTAAAGTGTACCGATTATTTGGCATTCGTTGTTACTGTCTTCCCAGCAATTACGTTATTTGTTGATGGTCCTTACTACAATTAACATAATTATCACAATTACACCAGAACCATAAGATTACATAATCCATACAGTGATTTTATTTTCCGCTTTATGTTGATAAACGAGAGTAGTAAAATGCACAACTTGGACGGAAGAAAATCGATTCTTTCATTGTTCATTTCTTCAAGGCATGCAACGAGTGTATTTCAATTATATGGTTTGTTTTATTGCAGATAAACGAACCCTGAACGGTACATGATAAAATGATGACTCAAATATTCTGATTTGCAGTAATGGCAATAATTTTTCTGAAGCCCTTTATCAGTCTTTCTAAAACAATTTAGGTCGCCGATTCCCATATTTGTTTCGGTATGAACTGAGAACCTCTTCTAATGCAGCATTAAGTTGACTTTGTTTTACTGATTTGCAATAACTGCATAAATATGTATTAAGCGTCGCACCTTGTGAATAATCAAGATAGACTTGATGAAATATATACATATTGATTTAAACTAATAATAAGGAATAAATAAATCTTTATTTATCAAACATTTTTACGATCTTCATTATCAATCAAAAGTATTAAATTTCCTTTTCTTCATACCAGTTGGTTCCGGTGTTGTTGACCATGTTCTCATTTCGGAACGTTAAATCAATTAGTTGGATTGTCCAATATTTTGCATGTTGGGTGTCGTCTCTCTCTCTCTCTCTCAACGATGTTGTTTAGTTGGTAATAAAGTTGTAACGTCATAAATGAAAACAAATGCGCATTATATTTGGAACTATAGTGATTAATCTTGTGACAGAAGATGTTAAAACGGTGTACTAATCGGCATAAAAATCAGGGAACTGACCATGTGCTTGTACAGCAAGCACGATATGTTTGCAAATTAGGTATTTTAATAATATTGTATGGTTTTGTTTACTTATTAAGGTCCTTTCAACATTAATAGTCATTTAGGACAGTTCTCCTTTCTCAGTTATGCGAATGTGTATTGTATTTGGGAGGCTTCCAACTTGTACACTTAAGGGATATTGTGATAGTACGGAAATGAATCAAGTGTTATTGGTTTTATGACAAACATAGCCATGCATAATGATATACGTTATTATCACTTAATAATATTATAGAAAGTCATCTCATCTATTGGTCTCGGATTTTCGAGGGGGAACCTGAAGGGAGAATTGTGATAGTTTGTCAATTTTTTTCCAAAACGTTTATCGATAAGTGTGCTATGAAGCTAAGCGTGCTTGATGCTGGTTAGTTTGCCTGCCGGTTTCGCTATTGTTTACCTAGTTTTCGGTTGAGAATGTGATAGTACTTATTTAGATGAAGACGCTAAAATGACGCTTACTATTCCTGGACACTTTTCTTGTCTTATTCTCCTTGAACGTTTGCAGGAGTCGCTGCGTAAATCTTTCATTTATTCATATTTTACTATAATTCTATTGAATGTGAGATTAAATTATGATTCTGTTCACATATTGGTATTTTCTTGTTGTCTTTATTGGTTCTTTATCAATTAGGTCTTGGGTTCCTTTTCTCTCCTTTCCCATACAGTTTTGTATCACTATTGAAATCTCGGTGTCAATTTTGCACTATCGCAAGGAGGCTTACACGGTCATACAGCAGCTTCCCAATCAACATGGGCAGGGAGGCCGTACGTTAGGCACTATAAAACCGAACCCATCTCTATAGAATTCAAATATGTACAACAAGGGACAAAAGGAACATATATATCTAAGGACCGGCTGAGTCAACAATCTTTAAAAATGTCAAAAGGATCAATCCAGCACCTCTAAAGAAATATCGATATCAAAACAATTTATCTTGCGCAGTTTCCCAAAAACACGCACACAACACATAAATTCATATCGCATCTCTCAAGACCACACGTTATTAAGACATTTTGTAGGATAAAGTTAATTTGGGTCTAAGAACCTATATCTTTCATTATATGAGGCGATTGATAAAAATCAAAACTGAAACCATGTTGTAAGATCTTGTGTAAACGGATTTGAATGATTCAAGGTAACTCTAAGAGCGTAAATCACAAATGTTGCGAGAGAAAAAAAAAAAATGAAAATCGGTTGTTCCAATCGGATCTTAAGCTCATTTAACACGTAATATTCATAAAGCCTGCAGACTGTAATGTATCTGGAACTTGCTGACGAACGCATCACCTTCTGTGTTTACATCGCTGCATTCCTCTCGTAAGGAGCTGACCTATGAATAATGTATTGCAAATTGCATAATTATTTATACTTCGATGGAGCTTATTCCAAGTATTAACAGAGACCCATTTGTGTTATCATATATCGTTAAAATGACACATGACTCATGTGGTTAATGACAGCTTCAGGCTATTGTCTTGTGCAAGGCGAAAGACATTATGCGCCACTATGTCGGGAAATTGCTCCTGGGTTCTGTGCAAACGACAAGGGATGTTTCAGATTTAGCGTATCTATTCGTATTTTCGTAGATTCATACTCCAACAATGCTACTGAAGATGTATTGACATGAAAGCTGTTCAATAAAATTCACATTCATATTTTTAAAAATGATATAATATGCAAATGAGAGTTCATTTTCCATTTGTCAGCCCTTGAGATTTGCTACTTCTTTTTATCCCTTTCTTTGATGTTCCCATCACAGCATTTTATCAAGTTACGGGCTTCTTATTCTTCATCGTTAGTTAATTTGCCAAAATGGCCGCCATCTACTGGCTTATGTTTGGTTATGACTTTAACTTTTCAATTATTCAGCGGATCGAGATCAGAATTTGGAACGAGTAACTGAAAGACACCCTCTACCCTCTAAAATGACAATGTGACAAAAGTGGTTATTTAATGGAGACTTCTGCTCGGTCTATATTTGTAAATTTTATTGAATTTTTGTATTTAAGGTGTAACAAGACATCTGACACACGATTGTGATGTACGCTTTCTGATTGGACAAAATGGCAGACAAGAGGTTTTCGTCACCCCTTTTTATAGGTGTACGTCAAGGTTCTCTGCCATTGTTACGTTAACAAAAAAAATGTTAAAAGTGTAGTTCAGGGTTCCACAAATCCTTTCGTATGTTGAAGTACTGTGATAAGCATCGTTTACGGTTGATTTAGTAGTATTGAAAGACTGTGTAATGAATCCCGTTACACTTAATAATTCTCTCATTATGTGTTAACACAAGTGATCGATTCTGGATTGACGTTTGAATTATATCAGCAATTACTTCACCAAACCGCATGCATGTAGCTAATGTTCAGACAAGTTGTTCTCCCTACATCTACGACAGAATGACTCAAATATTTCTTTAGAATATGTTATTCTTTGATTAGCGTGATAGACGGTTAAAGACCCGATCACATTTAACTGGAAAGGGTAAATGCTTCTTGATATAATTTCATCTTAAACTGAAAAAAATTACCCGGTATCATTTGTACGATGAGTAGTGTAGTATTTGTTTCTACATTATTTTAGTTGGATTAGAGTAGATATTATTATTACCTATATAATGACGTCACAAGTAAGATTTCGTGTTCGATTTCGGTGTCCAACTGCGCGTAATTATACTGGCCAACTGATAATGAATATACAACTCGGCTAATTCTACTCCAAGTGATGGACGGCGTTATGTCATGGAAAAGGAATGATGCCCTGTCGTCAATTGGGAATCATGTGTTCATAAATAATTCATGAATTAACGTTCACGAATATTCGTCAAATATCTCCCATCAATACATCATTAATGTTTGTAATTAACAAAATCATTAACATCCGTGATTATGCATAAGTAATTTGATAATGAAATATTCATGAATTTTGTATAGATAGATGATATTCATTAACATCCGTCAAATAGGTGGGAAAAATGTAACGACGTTTTAAAGAATTTTGACGATATGTATTTATATTTTTATAAACAAATCATAAACGTTAATATAGTGTAAGTTTCATCATTTCTTATAAAGGTCATGTTATGTGATATACAGATACAGTTTTTATAAATTTTATAGTACATTGGTGTTTTTAAACAATGTTAAAGGGGCATTCTTTCGTTCGAACATCTAAAATTTGCCCCGAATTTCACATTAATGTCTAAATGAGGATCATTCTACTAAGTGTGTCTGACGGTGATGGAATAAGAATGGAATTGAACAGAAATTACCAATGTTACGTGTAACCACTGTCTGAATACCTTGGCACGTAAATGTTCGGTCTCTCTTTCACAGCCTTCAGTTAGACATCACGTGTCAGCAAAGGCGTGGCAAAACATGGGGAATCCCCACTTTGCAACCACGTTTATGATGAAAACAGAGTTCAGTTTCAAGAATGGCGAAAACATACAAAACACCCTTATATAATGTAGTTATAAGAATTAACTGCAGTCTTCAAGTCTAAAAGTGCCATCGTCGGTCATGTGTAGTTCGTTTTCAGTTGTTATGAGTTTGTTAGTTATATAACTGAAAGTATTATAGTTATATGAAACGTATATACCCGTGTAGGTATGTAATATCAAGATTAATACTTAACCTTTATATCGATCACAGTGTTTCCATGATCGAAAATGAGCACCTTAGACTTCAATTGAAAACGGCATGACAATCGTTCTATGGCATCAGTGCAAAGTAAAAGAAAATAAAATATTGTCTGATATATCATATATGATATTGAATGGTGCTTACCATTTGTGTCTGTTGTAGAGGGCTTCATCATGTGTGGGATATTTTCCAATATAAAAAATGCTCAAACGTTATTTTGATTTAATATAAATCACATGAACTTTGTTCTCTTTCTTAGAGCTATCATTCTTCATTCAGTTTCTTTTCAACTGAGAATATCCTTTGAATATGTCCGTGCAGCAAAACTATCCTCTTTCCAATTATCCGATTCCATCTCTTTGGAGAATTGGGAAATCACTTCTTGTAAACTGATACCTAAAAGAAGAATGAATCTGTATCTTCAATACCACAGTTGATCGCTGGTTTCTCTGCACGGTACGGGTACTGTCCTGTAGTAAAGTGTGTGCCTGTTTGTATTTCAGAATTTGGGTAGCGACAGTTCCTGCTCCATGAACGCCTTTGATCTTCATGCTGTTAGTCTTCGGCAGTACCTTGCTGATAATGGGCCTAAAGTTTTGAAATAATCCTAGATTTTCATGGAAGCCGTCCATGTGTTCTAGTGGATGTGTTTTCCAGAAGCGCCTCAAGATTTCCGTCTGATATTTGCCCACAAAATACGTTTTGTTGCATTCGACAGAGCCTAGAACAGTACCTAAAGAATCATCATGTCTTGTCTTGAAACAATCCAGCCCATCACCAGTGGTAACGTCTAGAAAAAACCTAGAACATCACAACAGCTTGAACCTAGCCAATCAACAGTGTTAACGTCGAGAACAACATCTCGAGCAGAACAACAGTTTGGTCTCAGCCCATTACCAGCGGTACGTAACGTCTAGAACAAAAATCTAGGGCAGAACAACAGTTTGGTTCTAGCACATAACCAGTGGTGACGTTTAGAAAAAATCCTCGGAAATTACAACAACTAGACCCCAACCCATCAACTGTGGTAACGTTTAGAACATAACCTATGACATCACAACAGCTTGTCTGGAACATTTCCAGCCTATCACTTGTTTTGCTATGAATACACCGAATCACATAGTGACCTAAATGTCTGGTAGTTAACAAATGAGTATTTCAGTGAGTGAAAGGACATATTCAAGAACGAAGGCAGCCATAGTACTATTTAAGTTTATTCATTAACATAGATACGACGGGAAATGTGCCGTAATAATTATCAGTAGAAGGGACATGTACAAACTGTAGTCTGGGGAAAAGACTTTGTTGTTCTTTGCTAGTAATGGAAACAAAAATCACTTCAAGAAAACCAAAGAAGGCATGCTTAAAATACGGCTTTTTGGAAGCTTCCCGTGTTTCAGTTACAGAAAACACTTTAATTAACACCCGGGGAAAGAAACTGATGCCATATTGCTCCTAACTACTCCAATACAAGTTACTATATATGATGTTCAAACTAAAACAGGAAAATACCAACATGTCAACACAATCATTATCCAAACTCAAATTCAATAAAACTAAGGCAAAAAGGAACAAAAAAAATATCACAGAGACTCCCGAAAAAGTACAAAGATAAGGAGACAAGGTGTTCCTTTGTCATAACTAATTTCTGGAAAGAAAACTTTTTAATGTTGATGGTAGTAAATAGACTTAATGACGTAATGTCTTCGTCAGTTATCAACTGATTGAAAGTAAAAGTAATTATCTGTGACAGCAAGCGGATTCGCAAGCAACCAACACTATATACATACCATTCATGTCTCTCACCTTTCAAGTCTCAACGTCAAATTTCCTGACACTCCTAATACTAACCAACCTTATCAGAATGTGGTTAAAAGTCTAGATCGCACTCAGTCGTAATTTATTTGGCATATGTTGTTGAATCTACGTGCATGTGCATGAATATTTCCTGTTTGTAGTACAGAAGTAAATGAGAAAATGAATTATTTAACCATATCTGTACTTCAATACACATTATTTGTTGATGCTGAAATAAACATGGCCACTGCTATGATATAAAGTAAAGTTAAGATAGATTATTTTGTTTCCTATTAACGCCTTTGCGAATTATGCAATAAAAGAACTATCGTATGTTTGAATTACGAGGACTTTTGTATCCATTGTTGAAAGTGTGATGATGCACAATCACGACTTTTATTATTCATGGTATTAATTTGTGTCCCTGCGATTGCAATCTCCATTTAGATTTTGACACGTAATTCAATCACTTCGCCTCACTTCTATGTCTTTTGTACAATCTCGAGATTGCAGATGGTAGACAGTTCAGGTGAACTACTTGTCCCCTACTCTTGCCGTAACCCTACATTTACTTCATGGACCTGACGTTCTTCTGAAAACATCTTATATAGGAAAATTAGAAATTGAGAAATCTATTGAATATGGTTCTACTACAGTTTCTATATTTTGACATGTCTTTATATCACTTTTTATGCCACGTTTACCTCCTAGGATGAAAATGTTGATACCTTAGCATCACGCATGAGTGTTAGAAGGACGAAATAGCTATATGATGCAGTTAAATATATTGTTTGGCTCTGCTGTGTATGGTTCTTTTAAATGTATTTAAAGTTGGTATTCACCTGTGTGTCTTTTCACAATCACTTAATTTAAGTTAATGACGTAGCTCAAAAGATACTTTTGACAGAAATGCTTAATATACAATCACGGACTGCCACTAGTCTCTAAGATTCCAACGTTATCAAGTAAAAAGCTTGATTAAAAATTATCATTACTTTCAGGTTATGAAAACAATGGAAACTTAGAGAGAGAGAAACATTTTCTCCATCCTTGCATTTCTGATAATATAATCTCGTTCACAAATCGATGCCATATATATTATATGTTCACCGCTACTATTTACGTATCATATCTATCAGATTCACAGCCTGTTTTACACGTGTATAGCCCAGTATAGAAATATATTTTAAGAGTAAGACTCAAATCTTTACCGTTCACATGTCCTAACATATTATGACGCAGCGGATAATGTTCTTTGCAACGAATGGCTTGCCGCGTCTGAACGGTTTTAGGTGAAAAGGAAATAACTAAAATCCAGTTATTATATGAAAGACACCCCTCTCTTAATGTCGTTTTATTAATAAGAACATCAGCCGAAAGAAGCTTGCCTTCGCTCATCTTCGACAAGACTGCAATCTTCTGAAAAAGATAAGAAAAGGTAAATAAAAAATGATAACAAAGCAAGAAATAAACTTCAATATGTAGCATCATAAATAGATACTGTATAGTTCATTGTTTGACTCTACTGTATCTCAATTTATGTTTGCATTTACAGGTGTTGTACACCCTTTTTTTCACCATTGCCTTTCGTTTTTTTTTTTTTTTTTTTTGATAATGCAAGATTTATGAAATGAAAATGTTTCTTAACCAATCAATATATCAGAAAATGGATATCATAAACACCATTCTCTTTTATCATCTAGAATTTAAACCCTTTTTACTTCAAATTCTTGTTTGTTACTTGCAAGCTATTCTGACCTTAGTTGGGTCTTAAATGTAAGCATGTGAGTGGAAATGCCTGCTGTGCAGATTTGAGTTGTTTTTAAGTTTATTTTAGAACGTCAATACAAATTTATTCAACAGCACCTATGTGGCATATCATATATCCTTTGTTCGCTGAAGAGTAAACTCGGCAAAATGCAAACCTGTGTTTAAAATGTTTCACGTTACACGATATCACAGAAGCCATTACCAACAAAAATATTATAAAATGGTTACATTAAACAGAACAATTATAATGTGGATAGCAATTTTTTTCCATTTTATATAACAAGGTGTTGCCGTGCATACCTGTCGTCACTAAGCTGAAGTAGGCTGCAGCTTGATAGATGTGTATGTCGATATCCTCGTGTGCTTTCCTCTGCACCATCGGGTACAATACGAATATGGCTACCATTAAGACGTCAGTTTGTTCAGACTCTCCGTGATCTTTCTGTCAAAGTGCATCCACTTGCATTTTCTCCAATTATTTCTGCGTCAACTGTAACATTTTTAAAGATCAAACCAGGAGTGTCACATGGGGACTTGTCGTCTAGATTAGAAATCAGTGGTTTGCCGACATAGGTCTGTAAGATGTTATAAAACTTAATACAGAACGCACTTATCTATTGTAGATATACATAGCGAGGACAAATCCTGGTTTATGATACAAGTCTGTTTTCCGATATAAAATATATAGCCATAAATATTTTAAGATACAATGGTTCTTCACACTAATAGCGGCAAAGGCCGGATCCATGATTGTTGAAAAATGGGAGGATTCGTTAAAAAGATGCAAGATGTATAAATCTTTCAAGGCTTTATGACAAATGTAAATATATCTTGATTACATTCTGAAGCAGTTGTTCTAAATATAATTCATTTCCATTGAAAATTCACCGACCAGAGGATCATCTCTCAACCGCCCTATCATGTTAGTACTGCAAGATTTTATAAACTTTTATAACCACATATCAATTCGTTTGAATAGTGGAACGGTTCAGAATATACACAAGTACTTGACGTTCTTCAAAAATCATCCGATATATGAAGTTTTACGGAGTTGATCTAATTATGGGACCGCTACACATCCCTGTCTATATTTTGACGTACCTTTCGATCACTTTGTATATTCCTCATCCGCCTCTCAGGCTTCCACATTTAGGCACTTGGCATAACTGACGAGTCCTAGAAGGACAAAACAGTTGCATAGCGTGGTTTAATTTGGCTCTCCGGTATCCAACTCTAAATTATACCCACGAAATTTGGAAGACATGTCAATTTCTTCTACTTAAGCTTCTTATCTCGATTCTTTCCTATAAAATGAAATCAATATTGGAAGCTATTTACCAAGCTGTATGATAAAGGTTTTGATTTCAATTTCCCTATGGTGAGTTTTCCATTTCTAGATAGCAATATCCCTTTATCCATAACTTATGGAGATAACTTGCAACAGCTTATTCGATATTCAATGGCCTGTTCCCATTATCACGATTTTCGTGCAAAAAGTCGCCAACTCACTGACAAACTCGTAACACGATGTATAGAAATATTAATGTTAATGAAAATCATGGGGGTGTTTTATGGTCAGCAAAGTAATATCATTGAGACATATTAATTTGTGCGAAATGAAGGTTGTACATCTTTGTCTCATTACTTACTTTGATTGACCTAGGTTTACATGGCGGGTATTGTCGATGAAACAGAAGACGCTTACTCTTTCAGATCACCTGGTCTTATTCTCCATTCTTTTTTTTTTTTTGCAAGAGTCTCCGTGTTTATTGAAAGGTGATATTCCTTGTGTACCTTTATTAATTTATAATTCTGAATATCTAGGTATATCAACAAAATATCTCTAGCTTATATTTGATGTTTTTGTATTACAACTATTTCTATTGTGAAATGAGTTTCAAAATCAACGTAAACAGTAAATCTCTTACTATGCTTATTACTCCACCATCAAAAGCAGTTTGCTAACCGCACATGTATATGCATAATTCCTTAGCGTTGAAGTCTTCGCATGTAGCTCTTTAGTTAAGAAATAAAAGTAATGAAGATCATCCGTCGTTTTAAGATAACTTCCAATCATCAGCTCCAACCATAACATTTAATTGTGTATTTACAAAAAATGCTCTAAAAGGTGTTTTGCTGGCTTTAACATAGCTTTTTACTAATCATGTCGATTTCCTTTCTCATTTCGTCCGCGTAATTGGCTATCTATAACAGCGCGTTTTACAGACAACACAAACGGATCACCATTGGGCAATAACGACCGTAGCTGCCAATAGAACGTTTTGCAATAGAAATTAAAATCAAACCTGCACAGTGTGTTGTTGTCGGTTTTCTATGACTAATCATACCCTTATGATTTCCTGTCTACGATGCCTGCCTAAAGTACATTGATTTACCGTCATACTTTGGTTTCCGGATTTCT